GTTCAAGAGGAAATCATTAAATTAATATTTTTTAACTTCTCGTAAATTAACTATTGCTATAGGCATCATTTTTTTAGGGGAGGATCAATTTAGTAATTCAAAAATTTTCTTATAATACATCTGTGGCTATGATCCCTATTATAAAAGTGAGTGTAATAATGACTACAACATTGAACCTACCAAATAAAGGCCTTCACAATATCAAAATTCTTCATTTGTTTTTTTGAATCAAGTTCTGCCGTTCTTTTAATTATAATCAAAACTACGATTACATCTATGGGAAAAAAAATAATATACAAAATATAGCGGTTTTTTAAATTTCGGAAGGTTAGGATACATATACAATTTTTTTAGCTTTTTAACTTCCTAAAAAATGTTTAAAAATGGAATTAATTTGTTTTTGCGCAATTCATCAACTATTTATGATGCATGGATCTTAATCTTAATTAAGTGTGTAAAGATTAGTTGAATTACAATTCTATATAATTCGCATTAACAAAAAAGTATAGAGGTTAATATACTTTAATAATATTTACTAAACACTTGTAATCTATACACATGTTTATGTTTAGAGATTATCATTTTACCATCAAAATGGAAAATTACCTTGAAAACCAACGTCATCTGTATATAAAAATGATTGAACTCAGTGAACCCAATAAAAATTATAGGTAATAATAATATATCTATTAATAAATTCGGCGAAACAATTAAAACATAATGATCTATATGTTCGACTTGGCTCATACAGCATTTGATAAGTAATTGTGACAGATATAAATCTATAATTGATTCAGCATAATATCAAATGCTAAATAATATATTTATTAACAGTGGTGCATTTAGAAATTTTTTTACATGGGAGATGTCTAGATAACTTTTAGAACGTAATAGCTATTATATTTCAATCTTTTTAAAATAATTTTATTTTAACAATTAATCCAACCCAACTTTAATTATTTATTCAATGTCATAAATTTATTGTGAGTTTCTTCTATATATAAAGTTTATCTTAATTAATGGTTCTGTCCTTGTTTCAATAAACAATGCGCTGGCATTCAAAGCAAAGCTCACAACTTTAATAATTTTAATAATTTGATTTGACTAAGTATACTGTAATTTTATACTTACTAGGAAGCTCCTATATGTTAACTGTAAGCTTATGTCCTTGTTCTCATGAACATTGCGCCAGTAGACAAAAGTAAAGGTTGCAACTTGATATTACATTAGGTTAGAATATCTATGTAAACCTATTTGTATTGAGTGGCAAGCCAGGTGCTATATTCTTATTTTTATTAAATTTATTTTGAATTCAGAATATTGCATCGGCAGACAGCGCGGAAAACTTTACGGAGATATTTTTAGTGCTTCATTTTTGTCTCGGTGATTATTATGCCGCATCCTTTCGAAGCGTTAGGGTCGGCCTACCACAATACAATGTTTTTATAGATATAAATATTTTTAAATCTTATTTTATCTCTCAATAAAATGTACTTTCTCAAATAATAATAAAAAAAAATTTTCAACAGAGATAAAAATAAGGGTACATTATAAGTGTTATATTTCTGATAAAAAAACATAGAGAGTGATGAGAAAATTATATATATATATATAAATCAGTCGTAGACGTTATGTAACAAAATCGTAATATTTAAGATCACATCACTTTAGTAAATAATCATATTGACTGCACAACACGATGTGTGAAACGTTAACGCAGTGCATTTAGTACGATGGAATCAACGTTGGATTACTTAAAATATTATTATGTCACATAGGATATAATGTAAGTACAAATATAATTCATGCTTTCAAAGCACAAACAAACTATTGCTTAATAAACCATTAAGAATAATTATAAAATTTTAGAGGATATTTAATATCATTTACTCAGTGTTATTCAAATTTCGATACACTACAACTTTACCTTTATTTATTTACATTTATATTACTATTTTCTTTTTAGTTTATTTCATTCGTCTCCAGTACTCGAATTGGCCAAAAATAAGTAGGGGAGCTCAACTTAACAATTTGAAAACTGCGTCCCTAGTATTTTGAAGACCTTTTTTTTTTTGTTTACTCATTACTTTATTTAGTATTTATTAATAAATCATATTTCATTATCATACTAATATTTAAAAAAAAAAAAAAGAGGTGGTATTGTCCACCGTCCTCCCGTCACAATAAAAAAAAGTAGTTGGGGTGCGCAAAAAAATTTTAAAAAAAGTAGAGGAGCTACGTCCCCCTGCGCACCCCCTCAATTCGAGCACTGTTCGTCTCTATGTTATGTAAATTTCATTAATAATGATTCGCTTTAATTCTTAATTTTTATTATTATCATTTGTAATTTTTTGTAAAAATATTATGATTTTATTTGTTTTAAAATACTACTTTTAGTTTTTAGTTATAAATTATAAAATTTATTTATCTTCAAAAACAAATTTGATCTAAACTACATGCATCATTTTAATGCAATGGTAAAAAAAAAAATAGTATATTTTTTATTTTAGTAAGTAAGTTAACTAATTTTTAAAAGTAATATTCGATTTTTAAAATTCAAAGGATCATGTTAAAAGTTTTGGCCTATTAGATCATTTAAAATTATTTGAATTTTTTTCTAAGAAATAAATTTTATATGAAAAATCAATTCTTATGAATAAATAAATTAATTATAGATATATTGATCTACTAATAGACCTTATTATTACTTATGAAGAGATAAACTGGTCAAACGAATTTTATATTCGTATCAGAAATTTAATTTAATTTAATTTGCCAAATGTAAAATATATTAGTGAGAATTACCGTTCTATGATGTTAAATACTTTTAATTGTAAGTTATATTTTAGTTTTAATGTTTTTCATTACATTAAATAAAAATTATTTATATTATTAGTGGTATAAATAAATCACTTAATTATGTATAAAACAATTATTTGATAATATTTAAAAATTTATACTTTCATCATCATTATCAATAATTATTTCTAATTAATTAATTGAAATACTGATAAAAAATAGTTCGAAGTTAATAAAAATATCTACAAAAACTAATTTAGTTACAATTATCATTTAATTATTAGTATTATAGTTGCAACTAGAATACAAATTTTCTGAGTACCGATTTAATTTTTCCTACACATTTAATTGTATTTTTTTATAACAATATATACAAATATTATTATTTCTAGAGTGAGATAATTCGTCAACTGGGAGGGCTAAGTCCCGTTTGTTCCCCTTGTTGCATAATTTTTTAACCATATCGATAGTACGGTGAAGATAACGTAATTTTGAGAAATAAATAAATAAAAAAAAAATTTAACAAGATTTATTAAAATCTCCTAATTTTATCCGTTATCATTATAAATAGGTATGTAAATGTTTGTGGGATATATTAATATAAATAGAAATGCATACACATATGTGTGTTTTGATAGATTTTTCGCAAACATCAATGAAATATTAATTATACGACTGTGGTTGGTATATTCTGCGAAGTATTGTTATTATTAGTACTTATTGAGTGTTATAAATGTCTAAGGTTATTGCGACTTAAGAAAATGCTGATTTGCTTACAATATTCAATTTTTATCCTCTACAGTGTCTTAATAATCACAAGAGGTTATTTTAAAAGCTAATTATATGTTTATTAAAATAAGAAAAAGTATAATAATATGAGAAATTCTCTTGTAATTTGGTAACATGGACACCGTTTCACTATCTCTATATAATACAAATACGTGACAGAGTGAACTTTTAATTTAAAATTTTAAGTAGTCAAAATTAATTACTTAAAATTTATCTAAAAAAAGTCTTTTATGTTTCATGTCAATAAATAGATAAGATAAATTTATGACGTGTGTGATTTTAACATTATATAATAAATAACAGCAATTTTTTTAAATGTCCGCTGAATTAGTAAAGTACAATTTTAATAATTGTACAACTAAATTTTAATTGTTAATTATAATAATTTACAATATTTTTTTAAATTTTATATAATTGTACTAAGTAGGTATTGCAAATCATATGAGATTATATTTAATTCCATTTATACAAATAGTTTATGAATGTAGACTTATATTTTTTATAATTATCTCACTAACATTTAAATTGATTAAAGAGCAGAAAAAATGATGTAATAATTAATATTCACGTCTAACATTGTTTTGGTTTAGTTTTTTAATGTATTATCAATACCTTGAAAAATATCTATTGGTTGTGGATATTCCCACTTTATCTAAATTCTCGTTCTAATGTGTTCAATTTAATTATAGTTATATAAATTTATTGATTTTAATTATAATTTATCTGAAAATATTTACTGATTACGGTTAATGATAGCTCAGGAAATCCATCGGAGTCGGTTTTTCACTAATTTAAACGTTATTGATATTTCCAAGATATTTAACATAAGACCTCAGGCGTAACTGCAAATACGTTTTTTGTATGTTAAATTCTTTCCAACATAAAGCTATAAAAAATTAAATCACATATTTCTTGGATTATCTAAAGTTTGTTTTAAGATAACTATTATCTTAATATTTTAAAAATAATAAGTGTTGCAATGCATTTGTCTGTAAATATTATGGTAAAATTTTAGAAAATTAAATAAATAAATAATACTTAGTAAATATAAAGAATTTAATGTTTAAATAATTTTTTAATAGTCCTAATCTTTACAGACTCATATATTTGAACCACAATCTTAGTTTTTAGATAATATTTATTTAAAAGTTGGCTTATAGATATGTTTTAAATCAAAATAAAATATTGTCTTTCTAAACAAATTTTTTTATAAAATAATGTTTATTTTTTTTTCATAATATGTTAAATCATATGATAAATTTTATAAAACATACTTGAAAACTATAAAAAATAAATAATCAAGTGAAGAAGTACTTTAAAAAAATAACAAATCTTTCTAATTATCTCAAAATCTATTTTTAAGATAAAACACCTTCAAATGTCTGACGAAAGTTTTTTTTTAAAGTTTATTATAAAATAATATGTAGTTTTTACATCCTAAAAGCTTACTTTTACCGAAATATAATCTGTATGAATCCTTGTACGGCAGTTATTGTATTATCACAAATTTATTTTAAATTGTTTTTTAGCTAAAGTTTGATAGAGATTTTTTAATGTGTATAATAACATATTTCGATGAACGGTTCAGACTAAATCGTTCAGTAGCAATGACATATATGACTAAAAATATATTATAATATTTTTCGCTTGCCCACAAATGGACATTTACAAGGGTCATAACTATATCATAAATGATATTAGGTATGTAATGAACTTAAAATCATCCTGTGTTATTTATTGCAAGGGAAACGCGTGACAATATGTAGTCAACACTAGAAAAATAAGTTTTTTAAGAGTTCAACAAGAACGGAGTTGATAATCAAGTACTCAACAAAAATATTTAATCAGGTCTTTCTATAGACAGTAAGTGATTCTTAAAAATTATTAATGACTTGTTTAAAGTATCTACTTAATTTAGTAATCATCGTGAACAAAAAATAAAACCATAAAAAAAGCCAATAAACCTTATCAAAATTAATGATCATAAATAATAGTACTTTTTATTCTTTGTAAATACATGTTATAACTATTTTTGCAATAAATCAATTAAATCAAGCTACTTTTAAATTATACTTATTACAAAAGAACTACTAATATTTTACACATAATAACTAATACGTGTTCTTGTCTGATTATTTCAGTTAGTGTTCTAATTGATCTTATAAAAAATTTTGCGCAGTTACATAAAAAAATAAAATAAACTTTATTAAATTAATTTTGTTACAGAGTGATTTTCAAAATTAAATAAATGCTATATTCAGTACGGATATATGAAAATATTAATAAAGAAAAAATAATTAAAAGATATAAATTACGACAATGTAAAAAATCAGTCAATGATATAACACGGTGATAGTACCACCATAAAATTTCTCAGAGGGCTCGACTTGCTACTGATCGAGAAATATAAAAAATATATATCTACAAGAGTGAAAATGGAAAAAAATTATCAGCATTTTTTTTTTTACAGTAACTGATTATAATATTAAAGATTTTTTAAAATTAATATTTAAATTAATTTTTGTTACCTAAATCTTATGATCCTTTTATAGCTTATTTGGGTAAAATTAAAACTAAATAAATATTTACATTATAGGTAATAAATATAGTTAAAGTTCAAAATTTAACTAATTATATTTGAAGTTTTATTTCTAATCCATGGCATAAAAAAATGAATTAAACACATTTGTAAAACGCTAAGAATCGTTTAGATTAATTATTAAATTGATTATATCATATTATAACCTTATATAGTACAGTAAGTACTCGTCGAACATGCAGGTCAAAAACAATTATTCAACAACTGTTGTAAAATGGTCCTTACACTTTGAAATTTTATTTAGAAATTATGCAATTTATTCAACATATAATTACAAATTAAAATTCAATAATATTGTCTTATCTTAGATTAGGTAAAATATTTAATTGAACAATTAATTAATTAACCTATAATTATTTAGTGTGGACCTTAAGGGGTAAGTTAATTAATGAATTTTAAAATAATTTCAATATTAAGCATTTTTGTTCTTCTAATTAGATGAAAATTATTCTTGCCATATTTGAGACCAAATTGATAATATTAACATGCAAAGATTCGTTTCAAAGTTTGATCATGGCGGTATTTTTTTAGGAAAGTCATTACTAATTTTCATACATAATATGGGTTTAGCAAGTAAAAACCTGTTAAATTTTATAAATAGAGTATATAATAAATAAAAACCTTCATTAATTTGATATATAATTCATTTTATAAGATGTATTCAAATAAATTCTTAGTATATTCTATACAGAGGGATGCTTTTAACATTAGCCACTTAATTTCTCTTAGACCAATAATATTTGCATTATTTTTTTATTTTTGACTCATGTTAGGTAGAAATAGATGGAGATTGAGATGCTTAGAGGAACTTAGTACCCTTAAAATCTAAAATAAGTACTATTAGCACCATAAAATATAACATAAATCTTTGAAAATTGTAAATTGTTTTTTAAAACATTTTTAAAATAAGTTATTATATGTATCCAATATAGAAATAACCTAGTCACCACAATAAAACAACATAAAATTTGTATTATACGATATTTATAGTTAATTGTGGTCCCCATCCGATAGCCCACAGTGTCTATACGCCTACAGTTAATATCAAATTAATACTAAATTATCTTATTGTCTGCCACTTAAATATTTGTTAATAATATCAAAATCGGATAAGTACAATGAAAAGTAGCAGGTATTCTATATAAAATGAGCGAGCGTCTCCAGTAACTAATTCTAGCTCTCCTAGAGTTTCGGTAAATTTCCACATTTACTTGTTGACATAAGGAAATAATAAACAAATATTTTATACAGATTAATGGATTTAAATATGTAACTAACAAAGATAAAAAAATTCCCAAAAAAATCTTAAAAGATATTGAGTGGCAAGTGTAAAAAGAGTCACTCTGTGTACAGAGTATACGATTAATTGAAGTCCCGTTATAAAATACACAGCTCTTACAGTGTCGATTTTGATGATATATCCGTTAAAAAAGCCTGCTGTTTTTTTCTTTAATGACTTATTGTGAGTCGCCCTTAAATTTCAATTAGAAAATATCTCTAAACGGTCTACGTCGCGCTTTCTTTCTGAATGTCGTCTTGTTCTATTTCAGCTCAAACTTAATCGAGAGCTGAATCACAACTTTATTGGTTGTGTCGAGAAACATCTCTTTTGCTCATAAAGAAAGTTCACTTTTAGCATGATTTAGATATAAATAGATTACAAAAAAAAATTGGAAACATTCTGTTTTGTAATGCTTGGAGATAAATTTGTACGATTTTAATTTTACAATGAGATTAAAAAAAAAATTATTCGTAGTGTATTGAAAAAAATGACGTTGATCCAGTTAATTGAATATGAACATGTGATTATTAAAGTAATATAATTTACGTAGTTCATCAGGAACAAGGTTATATTTTAAATCTGATAATGGAGAGATAATATAAATTTCATTTCATAAAATTATCAAATAAAAGTGTAGAATTCACTGAAAATTTAAATAAATAAATGAGCTATTTTCGTTTATAATGTAGAAAAGTGAGAATCGACATAAACCCTGAAATACTAGTATGTTTGCATATCAACTATAAACAAATATGATTAAATTTAAATTCAAAAAAGGTATTAATAACAGTTATCAACTTCACATTCCTAACCAAACTTTCGTATTTGAAAATAAGCATTTAACATAGAACAGTATATTTAAGGGAGACAAAGGCAAATCTTAAATTAATAATATTTTATTTCTATAAGTATAATGGTCAAAAAGTTATTGTTATTTTAAGATAGTTTAAAATAAAACTGCTTTTAATCAAATCAATAATATAAACTACATATACTTAAACTTGGGATCGTTAGGTTAAGGTCGTTTAAAATGATAGCATGTATACAGAATGATCAATTTTGGCAAAGACACTAATTTTCTTAGAAACTATTGAAAATTTTAAATGTTCGTAAAGAGAAAAATTATTTGATTCAAAAAAACTCTACAACAATATGTGATAAAAAAATTTTAATTTAATTTTTATAATCCCTATTTTTACCTAATTTAATAAAAAAAAAAATTACTAACAATTTTTTTTAAATTGTTAAGAAATTTTAAAAACAAAATCTTTTGTATTTTTTTTCTATTATATTATTAAATAAAATTAGTGGTTCTCACTTAGGAAAATTAAAGGCGTTTTCACTTTGAAGGAAAAAAAATGTTTGCCATATATTATTGTTTATTTTTATTTATAAGATTTCTCTACATAAAATTAAAAATTTTTAATAGTTTCTATGAAATTTAGTGTCTTGTTTTTTAATCGTTTAAAAACTGACAACAATTTTAAATGAAAGTTAATTTTTTACCAATGAACGTTTTTTTCTTTAATATTTCTAATGAATGAATATTTCTTTTCAGACGTAATTTTTATATTATTTTATCTAACAAAAAAAATGTCTGAATAAACGACTGAAAAGGTGTGTTCTTATTAATATTTTGTTATGTACTTCAACATATTACTTAAAATTCTGTAAGCAGACAATTATAACATTAAATTAATGTCTAAGTGAGTACTATTCATCTGTTTTTAATGTCACACAAAAATATTTTTCAGACATCACGTGGCATATCATTAAGGACGTATAACCATCAATTTATGCTTCAAAAATCAAAGGCCGTATAAAATGGCAATCTTATTATGGAATGTAACCGTAATTGTAACTAAGTGAATAATACGTGATTAATAGTTCATCTCATAATTATTGTTTTCCTCAGAATTTTGTGTTAAATAAATCATAATTTTCCTTTATTCATTTTTTATAATATTTTTGTTTTTTACCGTCACTACAATTATATTTGATTAAAAAAAACCTTTACATTTTAGTACTTCTATAAAATTTTAAACTAATTGTTTTCTATTAATACAATTTAAGAAATAATGTTTTATCTAAAAATATTTGAATTTTTTAAGATTATTTTTAAAGAAAAATTTTGCTACTAAAGACTCTTATTTTAATTCGACAATTAAATTGTTACAGTATTTTAAGAATTTTTTATGCATTTTCTATAATATCAAACAGCGGTCTGTTTTGTTGGAAAATGATAGAAATATTGCATTGATCATTTTCATGGATACAACAATAGTGTAATAATTAGGTAATCTGAAAATATGCAGTTACTTCTATCTTTTTCTTAATAATTGACTAATGTTTGATACTATAAAAATGCACAAGGAAAATTCAAATTTTAACAAACTTTAAAAAGCCATTTAACGGCTGAATTAAAATAAGAATTTGAGGTATTAGAATGTTTCTATAAAACTAATCAATTAAATATTATCATTAATATTGAATCAATGATAATTCAAACTTTGATAATTTTATAATAAATATTATAAAATAACCGAAAAATTTTAAATAAAAGTGTATCTTTTTATTTAATAAAAAAAAATTAATAATATTCTGTTTAAAATTTAGTTTAAGTGTATACAAATTGATTAAAAAAAAAAGGAAATGAAAAAATTTAGCAGACAAAATTTTTTAAGAATTTTTAGTTTTATCTGTTTCACTCTGTATGTTACACAACATACGTATATATGAAACCTTAAACATAACTGATAAAACAAAATTAAATAGTTTTATTAGCAACATTGCTAAACAGTAGATTACTTTTGCTAAGTAATCATGTGTTATACAATAAGTAATTTAAAATTTTTATCAAGTTTAAATAAAATTACTATTAACCCATATGACCAATAAATTTCGTATATCTTTAATTTTTAGGAATAACTTTGTTCATAAATTTTTTTATCAATTTATTGACCGTTATGAGTTTTTAAAAAATAGAACAAAAAATTGAGTTATTACATAAATAAATTAAATTATGTTTTCTATATAAAAGTTAAAACTTTTGAAAAATGTTTAGAAACATAAATTAAAAGAGCTTATTGATTGAGAGACCATTAAATAAGTTTTATAGTTATAGTCAATTAGTAAAATATATTAAATATTAGTTATGTATTCACCTAGAAAACTTGATGATGAAATATATTAATAATAGAATTGGCTCTGAAAACAATGTACACCGAAAGGCCAACAATATAAAGTGTTTGTACATTTTCTCCCACTTATTTAGAAGAACTTTAAAAATATTTATTAAATTTCAAGTTTAATTGTTTTAAGTTCTATAAAAAAAATAACAATTTTCTAACTGGATGTGCTATAGTTTTTGGAGTAAAATAATATTAATAGGAAAATTCTATTATGTTACCTTAAAATTGTATAGTGATGTATAATGCAATTGAATAAAAATCAACCACAATGAATTATTGTAAAATTTTAAGTGTAGCGCTGTAGTCATTTAGTCGCCACCTTAATGCTGATGTTCAACTGCGCTGTTTGCTGTTGGTTAGCGGATGGGTGACCTTTACAGGAACTTTAACAGTGACAAACACCTTAGTCCCTTGTTGGATTTTTCAACCATAATGAAATTAAGTTAGGTGGATGGCCAGTTTATAACCACGTAAAATCGTTAGGAAAAGTCGACCCTAAATAATTGAGTAGATGCTAAGAAGATGACGATGATGATTATTCAATAAGTGAACTTGGGCTGATAAATGTAGTTGTTTTGTTACTCTAACGGTAGTTTGAAGTGAACAATAAAATGTAAAGTTTTATTAGAGAATGATCTCCGAAAATAATGTTTTGTTTTTAAACCAGTTCACGAAAAAATACATTAAAATCATATGGTTTTGATTGAATACCTTCAAAACTAAGCATGGCTTAGGAGGATTTATGGACTTGACAATAAAAGGTATTTTATAATTAATTAATCATTTATGAAAGCACTAAATTGAAAGATAAGTTTTAATAAAATTTTATTTGCTCTTAAATTATTGATTTTTTTAAGTTCATTGTTGATTTTCTAGTAAACAGATTACAAATAATTTTTTATCCACAACAATAACACAAGTAGTAATTACATATCGTTTAAACTCGTAGATAAAAAAATGGAGACGAATATAAAAAATCGACCAATTCAACGATACAAGACAATGCACGTGAACACGCGTAAGCGACATGACTATGACCTACACCCATAACGATGGGGAAATAATCACACGCGATATTATTACCATTCGGCCATCCCTCCTACCGCATAGCTACTTATACGATTGCCGGCACGCATTAGGACCAACTCTATGCGATAAATCTGAACAGTTGTTTGTTGTGAACACATTTGCAAACATCAAATTGTAGTTGTGCGCTTGGCCGCCATACGTGATTTTCGAGGAACAGATTTTTTCGAAGATTTCAATCCTAGAAATTTTGGTTTCATCGCGAGTTTACACGAAAGCTAAATCTAACTGCCGGCAAAGTTCATGGACTTCTGTTTAATGCCCATCGACAACACGCTAAAGCACGCTAACGGTCGACTGATAATTTTTTGTCTTTGAAAATTTATGTTAAAATGGTTATGTAAGTATAGTTGCGAGATTTTTCTTGTATTCAAAATATTCAAATGATTTTTTTTTTGTACAGTACGAATATGTGCAGTGCTGAAAGTATAGTTGGGTCCAAGTTATTTTTACCTGGCATCGTTAAGGCGCAAGAAAAAAGTAAACCGTTATTAAAAAACGACACTGTACAATCTCAAAAACCGAAAAAAGGCAGCTCTTACAGACAAGTGAGTAAATTTATTTAAAAATAATTTAAATAAGATTATAAAGTGAACGCATAAAAGCTCGTTAAGCTTTGTTTCATCTTCAAATTTTGTAAAATATATATCCTGTAGTATTGGTATTGTTCGTATGAACAGTTAATTATTAAATGTGTACAATGATAACAAGTATAAAAAAAGCTGTGTACACTTTAGATTAAACACACGCATTTTTCATCATGCATATTCATGGATATGATTTAGGCATATAAAATTGTCATAAATAAGACCATTTGAAATTAAATTTACTACTGTCTAACTTCTATATTGGACATTACTTTTTCCTCTAGAAGTTTAAACTTTTATCAAATTTATTGTTAAATTATTGAATCAAAGAGGCTAATTTTATTCTATATTTATTGTTGGTTTAATAAAAATATTGTTTATTAGTTATTGTTAAAACTTAAAATTTAATCAAGATTAATTTTTTAAAATTTAATTTTATACAACTATTGTTTTTTTTCTACAATCTTCATTGAAAATGTACTTTACCCCGAGATTAAGTAATGAATTATGGTGGGTAATTTTAATAAACTTTTTTTTCAACAAATAATTTAAATTTTGTTCAAAATATTGTTAAGTCTAGATCTTTAAAGAACTTAAGATTTAAATATTTGGACAATCACAAGTTTTTTAATTAAGTAGAATTATTAATTTTGTATTATTATCTGGTGAAGCATTAGTAACATATAAAAAAATCTTCAGCGATTAGTGCACTAAAACTGGAAGGTGTATTCTTATCTTTGACTTAACATTTTTTATTTCATAAAAAATAGACTGTTTATAATAATAATAACTGTTCTTTTTTTTTATTAATATTATTAGTTTTATAATTACAATTTTGGTTAATATAACTTTATTTATTTATTGGAGATTTGTAATTTGTTACTTTATAAATTATATTAAACTAATTTCCAGCTTATCAAACTAAAACAATTTTTAAAAATTTTTTCATGACACATTTAATACCTTGAAATCATAACTTTATTAATTTGTACGCAATATACCCAATTAAACTTTGATGGATATAATAATAATTATTTTTATTCAATTGAATGTTATTTAATTCAAACTTCTCAATTGAAGGAGGAGCTAAGACCTAAAAAAATTATGCACTTATTTTTAGTAGCGTTGCTAGCGTATATTATATTCGTTTATAATATTTTAATACAATAAAAATAAAAACAATGCATATCTCTAAATTTGATAATATTCATTTTTCATATAAATATTAAAAATTATTATATTTAAAAATTCTTTGAATTACATAATTTATATTTAAAAAAAATTCAAAAATACTAATTAATAAGGAACATTATTTAAAATTCAATCTGTATCATTCTTTGTCTCGAGGTACACCATAAAAATCAAGTGCTTATCACATAAGAAATATATGCTTAATTGCTTTGTGAGTCGTTAAAAATACAATAAAATACTACTATTAAGAAATTCTTTGGTTGTATACTTGATAAGTAAAGCTTAAACGTTAATTGAAAGTAAAATTTTGATGTTTAATAAAGAAAAAGAAAATATAAACACCTTTTGATAAGAATGTGTTTAAATGCACGTAGAAATGTTATTTTATTATGTTTAAAAAATGTGAAAATTTAATTCTTCAAAATTAATATTTTATTTTTTTAATGATATGAAGAGATATTAAATTTTTTCATCACTTTATAGATAATCTAGCAGGGTCGTATTGAGTATTTCTTCTAGGTATTTTATCATAGGTAATTTTTTACTACGATAGTAGTTAATTAATAATAATGTTAATTATTACTGTTTCTCAAAACTTCCATGTAAACAAATTGATGAGTACTAAATTTAATGGTTTTAAGTATGTAAACATTTCTTTTTGAGTCTACCTACCATTGTGTAATTCTTGTATGTATAATTTTTAATTCAGATAATAACTTTATTTATTTTTTTATTACAGATACTTGTAGCCCTGTCTGCTAATTTTGGTACTATTAACATAGGATTAGTTTTTGGTTACCCTGCAGTAAGTTTACCGCAACTTCAATCGCCAACCTCTCGTATATTTATCAACAAAATTCAAGCTTCATGGATAGGTATTTACTCATATTTCAATTATATGCTTCATATATAGATGTCCCATCAGGTTATGACATTTTTAATAACTTTTTTTTATATATAATTTTTAAATTTCAATAATAAAAAAATTTAGATTTTTCTTATTTTTCCAAAATTTAAAAATAATTATTTATAAGCTCTTTTCTTACATCAAATTTTGATGGGTCGATTACAACAGTAGGGTAATTATTTATCGAGTTATAAGCATTTTGATACATAGCGTGATTATGTAGCGCAGGTGGGTACGAACGCGCTAGTCTGTTTTTACCATATATACGCCGCCCCCGCTACATATTCATTCTATGCATTAACATTTATGCGACTCAATATGTACTTATCCTAAAGTTGTTGAAGATGTTAAAAGCTGGTGGGACACTCTATATGTATAATTTTGAAAATAATAATAGCAAAGAGGTGACGAAACCGTAGTATTGTTTAGTATGCAATGTCTTATAATTTGATTATTTACTACGGACAGTTTCGTTTACTATGTGATAGTATTAGAGTAAATAACGTTTTTTTTATTTCTTTATCTATAAGGTAAAAACCATTGGTTAGAAAGGGATAAAGCTATAAACTATAGTTTCTCACTTATTTTTAGTATTTGATATTATCAATGGATTTTAGCTCCTAGAGAGGGGAAAAAAAGATTATTACGTTAACGATAAATTGTATGAAGAAGAGGAGCTGTTGTGCTTGTACTTGATGATATACTATTTTCCAGTATATTTTTAATTGAGATCCCTTTTTTTAGAAAAAATTAGACTGATTGAAAACATCGGTTCAAAAATTAAAATGTTGTTTGATAACATGTTAGTTTTTAATGTTTGCAGCGAGTGTTTCACTAATTGGAACTCCTTGTGGAAGCATTTTAAGTGGTTACCTCACAGATAATCTTGGTCGCAAAAAAACATTAATTGCCACTCAATTACCAGCAATTATTGGATGGTTAATGGTAGGTTGCGCTACATCGGTAGAATGGATATACATTGGCAGATTTTTAGTTGGACTCGGATCTGGTATGATGGGTGCTCCTTCAAGAGTATATACAGCTGAAGTTTCACAACCTCATCTCCGCGGTGTACTAGCAGGATTTGCATCAGTAGGAACCTCTTTAGGTACAAATTTAACTTAACTGTAACTTGAGAAGTTCTATAGCCTAGTTTTAATATCATGGTTTATTCAGGAGTCATGTTGGAATATTTGGGTGGATCAGTATTGAATTGGGATACATTGGCGATCGTTAATGCATTAGTGCCAACAATTTCACTGTGTGTCGATTGTTTCATCCCAGAATCCCCATCATGGCTGATATCATCGAAAAATGACGAACAAAAATGCATGGCTAGCCTTAAGAGAGTTCGAGATAGTGTGTGTGATGTCGAATCGGAAGTAAACAACTTGATAGTATCCTCGAAAAATAATACAGAACCAACACTTAAAGAAAAATTGAAACTAATGTGTAAGCCAGTTACTATTAAACCATTTGTAATACTTTGTTTATACTTTATCATAAATCAATACTCCGGAGTAAATATTGTTACCTCGTATGCAGTTGACATAATTAAGGTAATGAAAATTAATTAATATTTTATTTAATCCAAAATTAAAAATAAATATATTCTTTAGGATTCTGGATCGACTATCGATAAGTACGGTGCTACAGTCATTTTAGGTGTAATTCGGTTAATATTTACAATAATAGGTTGTTCTCTGATGAAAAAATTTGGTCGTAAAACTCTTACCTACGTTTCAAGTGAATATGAATTTTATTTTACTTTTTTTAGAACTTTTATGTATGGTGACTTAACGATGAAAATTTTGCTTTAGGTGTCGGTTGTGGAATATCCATGTTGTGTTTAGGGTCTTACATGTTTCAACTTGACTCTTGGAAATCACAAGGCATGGAGTCACAGGCTACATGGTTACCTATCATGACATTATATACTTTTTATGCTGCTTCGACTATTGGATATTTAATTGTACCATGGGTTATGATCGGCGAAGTTTATCCTAATCAAATTCGTGGAATAATTGGAGGGTTAACTACGTGTGTTGGTCACATAACAATATTCATCGTACTTCAAACGTACCCTCTATTCCAAGAATGGTTCACTAAGCCGGGAACGTTCTTATTCTATGGACTCGTGTCTATTACTAGCACAGTATTTTTTTATTTTTTCCTACCAGAAACAAAAGGTAGAACATTACAGGAAATCGGAGAGTCGTTTGAGAAAAAAAAAACACCCAAAATCGTAAAAAATGTTATAATTCCTGACATTGTTAATAATTTACCAAAAAATTCATCGAATAATTATGTGATTGTATAAATAAAATAGTAACTTGTCTCCCAAACAGAAAAAATTGACATTAAAAGGAAATTTTACTTTTGATTAGTTCCTTCAAGTTTGACTATTATGTTGTATTATTTGACGTTATTATATTAGAGATTTAATGAGTTATAAATATGGCTAAAAGGTGATGATTTTCAATCTAACATATGCTTTAAGTCAGTTAAAATATTTAATTATGACTTCATCTTAAATTTCTTAAGTATATACTTTTATTAAATCTATTAGTATTTAGACATTTTAAAGACTGATCACGCAAATGACTTATTTTAGCGTGTAATAATTTTTACTGATTAATTTTTGTGTATTTAAATATGTTTAACTTTTAGATTTTTTCTTATTATTTAATTCTTCAAATTTTACATAAAATCATTTGAAAATATAATTTTGTACACAAAAAAATTGACCGTTGTAAAATGATTAATTATTATTTGTAATATACTTATTGTTAATTTGTCAATTTTATTTTTATTTATGATAAATAGAGTTTATATTTCTTAAAGTTTTGAATCTTCTTATTACTTTACTTATTTTCATCTTAAGTTACAAACTTAAATTTAAATATACTGATGGAAGATATTTCTAGCTATTATTTCTGAAAAATAATTTTGAAGAACCAAAAAATAATTTAATCTCTTATTTTGTATTAATAAATTATTAATATATTAATAAAAGTATCATTATTAACGAACAAATTCATTATTTAATAACATTAACAATAATCACCCAGGATTTTAGTTATAGAATAAATAGAACGTATTAGATAATTTACCTATCATATATCTATGAATAAAAAATAAAGTATAAATAAGATTTGAAAAAAATTTTATAAAAAATATTTGTTGTAAATTTATATTTTTGATTAAGTAAAAAACAGAAGTGATACTATTATACATTTTAAAATGATCTGAAAGAGAAAACTAATTGTAATCAAACAAACATTTTCAACCTGTACTCTGATAACATGTTTACATTAAATATTTATAGCTATTTAATAAATAGATTTCAAAACTATTAAAAGAATGCTTTCACTTTAAAAATAAATATAATCAATTTTTTTAATGTAAAATAAAATAACCAAACAGTAATTATTGAGGAAATTATTAATGTAAAGATAGTATCCAAGGAAAAATATTGGATGTCATCTAGGTCTAAAGAATTACTTTTTAGATATCCAGCTCCTCGATTTTTAATGACGTACTCAACCCAATAAACGGCTTTCTCCAAAGGAGTCATAGGTTGGTCTCTAAAGGCATAACTAAGTCTTTCCATATTTATTTTATACCTATTTATAATTATTATGAAAATCTCATTTTAAATTCGATCAAAATTAATTCTTACATCGGATTAGTTAAAATTTCTTTGATTGCTGAACTGAATAGATTTTCAGTAATTCCATCATGCTTTACTAATATTCCACACTTTTTTCTTTCGATTATTTTCATATTTAAAAATTGATCTGCAAAAAATGGGACTCCTAAAACAGGTACTGCATAATATGTTGCTTCTTCTATACTATGTAATCCACCGTGAGTAATAAAGAGTTTCAAATTTTTATGTGCTAAATAAATGTGTTAAAAAAAAAATCAATAAATATAAAATATCTATAAAAAAATTAACAATTATAACCTAAAATGCTTTGTTGAGGGGTCCAAGGAACAAACATGATATTTTCAGGCTTTTCTATACCTTCATCAGGCACCCATTTTACGATAATTTTTTGATCTAATTTTCCAAGAGCACCAATGAAACTGTACATAACGGTTTTAGGTATATCAGTCAAATTAATGTATGTGCCAAGACTAAAAAGTATTATTCCCTTGGTCGCAGAATCCATAAAAGATTGAATTTCCTAAAAATACTGAATTAAGTTATTTAATGAAGTCAAAAAAATATCGAAATATTTAATATTAATTAAAAATTTATAGTTTCAATTAAAAATTTTCAGATTTTTAGTTTTTTAATAGAAACTGTTTATAATTTATCTTGCTATTTTAAGCAAATTTAAAATTGAGTCTTTAGTAGCTGGAAGGATTAATATATTTTAGAAAAATGTGAGAGACATAAAAAACTATAAAGTAAAACGATTTTTTTTATGGATTCACTATAAAGAATTAAAAAAAAAATTTAGTTTATACATTAGATGTTGACATAACTCTAGTGTTAAACCATGCTTGTCGCCGAAGTTTAGGGATAGGTGAACATTAAGGTGGTACTTATTTTTCGACTTTGGAAATTTCTCGGTGTCCGCCTCCCAAATTTGTGTAAGTATATGTAAAAATAAACAAAAAGATATTTTACGTCAATCAGAAGGGTTTACCTCCTCGTACCTACTTGTAGTTAAAAATTGGACAATAAGAATAATTTTATAGTTTATTGCTTTTAACTTACAAGTAAAATACAAAAATTGCATTATAAGCATAATTTATTTTTCATATGCCAATAAAATTTTTATTCAACTGTCTATTTTTATTAATTTTAGATGGGGGAGGTACTAAGTTCCTCACAATGTCTTTTGTGCTTATATTTTTATAAAATGAAACAAACAATTTTTGTATGAAATGTATATTCGTATCTGCAAGCGATTGTTGGATGTAAAGTAATATCCGTAAATATGCCAATTTTGACAGTTCCACAAAAATAGTGAATTTTGTAGTTTGCTGGAAAAATAATGATGTTTGTAATTACATAACTTATGGAAAACATCATTGTCCATAATTTATGTTTTATGATTTTTTTTCTGTGATATCTCATTCACGATTTAAATGAAAAAAACTAAAAAACTACCTTTTTGTCCAATTTTTAACTTCGATTAAGTACGGATTAAGCTTGTCTGATGGGCGTGATTTCTTTTTGGTTTATTGTTACATGTATTTACACAAATTTGGGAGGTGAGACCGAAGCATTTTTAAAAATGTTACTGATATTGCCCTAGTGTCCCCAGTGCAGAAGGCAACAAGAAACCATTACCACTACATTTATCCCTTCCCAAGAAATACCAGTCCACCTTAGGGTGTTTGGTATCCAACACCCAAAAATGGATAGGAATTAAATAAATAAATGAAATAACACATAATTAATGGGTTTGGGATAAAAAATGATTGAATCTTAAAAGATATATCCTTTAAACTAGATAGTTCAAATAAAAATAAGTTTGCAATACTGAAATATGTATATCTTAAATACTACCCACAAGTGTAATTAATTAGCTACGATTATCTATTATTTTTTAATCAGTTATAATAATTAAGTGTTTATTACACGAGGTAACTTTGTAGGTGGTTTTATGTGCATGCCTCCGACCTCAATGATACCCGGCAAGTACGGTCTTGTCAGACCAACAACATGGTATCCATTTACTAACGTCAACGAAACATTTTTTAACATTGCTTCAAGAGAAGGCCGAGTTTCCCAACCCTTATATGTGAAATGTTTATGCATAATTTTTTTCATCTCGGGTAAGTAAACGATATTTTCTATGTAAAGCTGTATAATTCCACTTATAACGTTTTTTATACGCTCCATAAAAGACATTTTATCGGTTATTCTTGCGCATAAATCTGGTATGTATGAAAAAGTAGAAGGTAAATGTAACCATTTCGTGATACTAGGCCATAAAGGTGCAGGTACCAGGTTGATGACGGGAGCGTTAAATTTGTGACCCAGTGTGATCGTATATTCTTGTACAAATGATTCAACCATAATGAGATCAAAAGTATAATTTTCAGCATGAATAAAATCAATTATTTTCTTATGGTGCAAAATCATATTGGCAACATTTATTCCGAGAGACCATTTGAGCTGGTTTGAATTAAAAAAATTCATGTTGATAAGTTCCATTACATTTCTTTCTGAAATATAACGAATATTTTTAAAAGAGGAGTTAAATTATATAGGAGTACGTTATACAATGTTATATAGGAATAAGGTACCTCTAAAATATTTATGAGATATTTGTAGCGTAGATGTTAAGTTTTGCAGGTCTTTTAACAAACGTATTGAAAAGCGTTCAAGGTTACCGAGGTTAGAGAATTCATTTCAGTCCAAAAAATTTAGAAAAATTATTATCAAAATTTATTTTTTTGGTGTGAAATCACACATAAAAATTATTACAAAACTATGAAACCATAAAAAAATTTGAAAAGTATTTTAAAGATATTGATTTTTACTTTTTTTAAAATTATTTTTGTATTTTAGAATAATGAAAATATCATAAGAAATAATATATTTTTAATTTAATGAAAAAAAATATATATTTTTAATTGAGAAATCATCTAATGTTTTGTAGTTAAATTTCTTTAGTATACATATTTTCACATTAAAAATAGATTAAAGTTATCAAATATTTATCATGACAATTACTATCGTTTGAACGAATACTTGTAAACAATAATTTTCATAGAAATATTTACATACCTATAATTCTATAGGTAGTACAAACAGAATATGCTTCTTTTGTGTTTTTCTTAATTCATATTTCAATGTTTGATACCGTAAAATAAATATATGGAAATTCAAATTTTTACAATCTTTAAAATTCTACAAAATTTACTACTGAACATTAAAAATTGTTGTCAAATAATAATAGTTTGCAAATCTAATAACTTTTGATTCAATAATCACTTTGCTGAAATTTATTTATTTTCAAAAGTTTTAGACTATGTTAATCGCATATTTTTTGGTATTTGTCTTTAATAAGAATAATATATATATACATATTAGCTCTTCTGTGTAAAATATTTTAATGGATCGATAACAGCTTCAAGTAAAGTACTTATTGAACTACAAGAATTTTAATACTAAGAGTGAGGTAAAGTATGCATTATAAATATACACCAGTACGAGCTGTATCCAATCGTGTTACAAAGCAATTTTATATAAAAAATGCCGTAATGGATGAATGATCTATTGGATAAAAAAAATTGTAAAAACGAGTTAGACAGGTTAAACAGGTGACAAATGTTCTTATGTATATGCCTTTCAAGACGAAATCTTAATTACGCCACTGCATCCTCCTTACGCTGCCATTGATTAAATGTACATACTTATATATCAAATATTGTTTTAGAGCATTCATAGAATATTTTGTTTTTCATAAGAATTATGGAAACAATACTTTTACAGCATTACAAGAAAAAGATTGATTAATTTAATTGTTGAAGATATCATTTTAAAATATTCATACTTTTAGTGTAATGTAAATTCGATGGAAGTTAAAAACCTTACGATGACAAGTATGTACTGACAGTCATCGGAGATGACCATAATATTTCACGAATACTAGAAATCAAATATTGAAAAACAGGCATAATACGAAATATGAGTTCAAAAGAACTTTCCATTAATCAAAAATTAATAATTGATCAAGATAAGAAATTTTATTAACATAACGACAGGTACAATATCAAATTAATAAATATTTTTTGAAAACAGTAAATGAAATTACATACTTCTCTCTTTGTCCATAAATGGTCCAATATCAGTATAGTTACCAATAGAATTTTCAGATGGAAAACAGCTTACAACTGTAATATTGTGACCACGTATTGCTAATTCTTCAAAAAGAGGTTGGAATCCGCGAAAATGACTTTTAAACGGCATAGGCATAAATACTAATATATTTGATGCACTCGCAATTAAAGGAAAAACTATAACTAAACTCAAGTTAAAAAACATGTTTTCTTTTTTGAGAGAAAAATGAATTCTGTATTAGACTGAATAATTTTTATAACTTAAATTAAAAATTTGTAGTTTTATTTATATATTATATAAATTGTTCCAGAATATAAAGATTTCTAAGGAATAAATGTTTTTGTATCACTTTATTACGGAACGAAAATAAACATAAAATATCAAATTTATTTAAAGAGATTATATTTTAAAAATTGCCATAAAAATAATTCTATAAGGTTTAGCAAACAATTTAGATAAATAAATTTAAAGCATTTAACTAAAAAACAACTGTTTTATTAATTATTACAATATAAAACGTTAAAACATAAAATGAATCGCAAAAATTAGTTAAGTTTCAACGTACACGATTAACAGACATCTTTCAACGACTGGTATGGTCTATACATTATTTTTATCCACTAAATAAAAGAGATATTAATCGAATGATAAGATTTAGACTAAAATTTCGTAATACTGATAGAGGTTAAAATTATTGGCCAATCTTATCATGATTAATTAGCTTGAAAAGTCAAAATTTACTCTTGGAAGCAGTGGCGTAATACAAATTTTACTATTGCGTGAATTTAGATTATAACTTTTTCATCATCCTTACCAAATAAATACAATTTTTTTACAATACGATATAATCTCAACTATTATAAAAAGGATCTGGCATCAGTTTTAATTAAAATTTCTTTAAAATTATATTATTTGTGTATTGAAATTATAATAATAATAGTAAAAAAATTATTATTAAAATAAATTGTGTTTTATTTATGAAAATTTATTGATCTATTTATTTTGTAAATACTAATATTTACAATGAGATACGATGGACCATGACTATCACTACTATTAATATCTTATAAAACATTTGAATAAGAGAGATAACAATAATTATTTTTATATTGTTAAACCAGATGAAGAGAAGCAATTAGAAAAGAAAGTTTACTTCAAACAAAAAATGCAACTTGAATATGACTTGTATAATCAAAAAACAACATTAAACATATATCATCTGAAGAATTCTCACTTTATTATTTAAAAAATATATAATAATTTCAATAAATAAAATATACAGAACTTTAATGATAAATTGTTTTACTCAAAAAATATCTTAATATAATGATAGATCTACAAACACTATTAATTAATTATTTAAAATAGCTGAAACTCTAGGTAAAATAGGGTTAAATATTTTTTGATAGCCAGATTCTGATGGGTGTAGAAAGTCTGGAGCATCTTTTTCACTTAAAATACCATCTTCTTGTAGTAAATTAGGAATAAATAATTCGACTTGAGAAATTGATTTAATGTTTTGACTTAAAATTGTATTTATTTGAGTACCAATTTCTCTTAAATTATTAGGACGAGGACCACGTGGTAAAATACCCTAAAATAAAATAAGTATTAATTGTGAAAAAAAAATTGATTCAAATGTTTTTTTAACAGGTTGTTATTTACTATTATAATTATAAAACATTTGGGAATTTTCAATTTTATTTCATATACTATAGCTAATATTCCACTAACAACATCTTCAGGTAAATTTTCCAAATTATTTGATCCAACATTAAGAATACATACCTAAAAAGTTGGGTAAATTGTTTTTTTTATAGTTTATAATAAATAAATTAAAAAAAAATTGAACTATTAAAAGTATTAAATCGTAGTTGTCACAAATTTATAATTATCAAATTCCCTGACTTTTACATGATTTTACAGTCAGTTTTAGAAAAAAAATTCCATACCTTGCTTAAGGGGTGTAGTTAAAAAAGTTTTATGTGGGATGTGTGATTGTATCAAGTCCTTTATATTTTTATAGTCTCAACAAGGAGAGCTAAAATATTGAAAATTAACCCAGATAGCAGCCTGAGTACATATGATAGGTTTAATCAATTTTTAAGTTTCAGGCAGCTGATAGAATCCCTTGACTTCATGTATTCCAGATATTACAAACTTGTGGCAACCAATGATAATTGATAATAATTTAAAAATTTAATTATTGTTTCTATATCATAATAACTATTATAAATGTTCTTTCTTTACTAACTTTAGGTTTTATATTATCTAAAATTCCATTTTTTACTCTCCATAATACATTTTGTGTACAATCACCAGCTATTCCAAAGTTTACACTATTTAGAGGAATGAATTTTTCTTTCCAAATAGGATGATACTGAATAAATTCTATTATTGATGCCCCAATAAGCAAAACATCAGGATCACTTGAATTGGCTTTAGTGATGTGTATTTTGTGCTTTTAAAATAAATGTACATTACAATACAATTATACATTATTAAATAATTTGTATATATTCAAAATTTGTGATATGAAGAAGTTATGCTTAACATTAAATATAACAAGAATTTCTATATTATATGATAATTAGTACAGTAATATTAGTTCGCTAATAACATTCACATGATAATTAAATGTAACAACATTTGTATTGTGGATATAAAAAATAATAAATTTATAAGTTAACATTTAAATTTATTCATGTCTTTGATTTTTACTAACTTGTAATCTCCATTTCTCCTCTTCAATAATTGGTACTGATGGGATATTACAAGGATTCATATTTTAAAATAATTTAATGTTTAATTTTAAAACTGAGTAACAAAATAAGTAATACCATAGATAAGATAAAACTTATTTATTTTATCTGTGGTAATATTAACAATCTTTATTCTTATCATTGAAAAATAGATAAAACATTATCTATTTATTATTATAATCACGATTGTAAGTATTATCCATAATAGTGGTCATTATTACAATAAAATAAAAAGCTGATAGATACTCTGTATAATACAAAAACTAAGGTTCATAAATACATGTTAATAAAAAAACTTGTTTCAAATATAAGTAAACATTTAAAACGTCCCATAAGACCAATGTAATTTTTCAAAATTTTACATATTAACAATATTACAGGTGGTGTAAAACAAAATATTTGTATGTAAATGTATAATATATGAATTAATCAAGTACCATTTAAAAAAATATATGTTATACATAACGAGCTACAATACAACTATTTTAAAATGTGCGAATTCGCATAAGCGTCTGAACGGAAATTGTGTCTTTTGATAATTGTAATAATCATTCATTTATTTTTTCACTGTTTCGTTCAACGAAGATTTTTACTATATATGTGTGTAGTTCATCGGATCATACTAAATATCGTGATCCTGTGAGACTACTTGAACTATACTCTTGCTCCGTCTGTTAGTAAAAGGTATGAGGTATGATATAACTGTGAAATTTAATGCTATTTTATTAATATATGATGATATTATCTTATCAAATCATAATTAATACATTAGTTATGTTATTTGTTATATATTTTGATTTATCTTAGCAGGCGTATTTACCATCTCTAGGGACTATTTTGGAACATGGGATTGCTACCCAAAACTAATTTAAAAATAGGTTAAATTATTTTCAAGTAAATTTAAATAATAAATTTAGCCCTCTCCCAATAATTTTAGTATTGAAATGGACATGCCTATCGTTATCATAATTATATTCCTATAATCTTGTATTAATTATATTTGCTTATTTAATCGATTTAAAACATTTTTTTTAAAATAGATGAAAAGTTATGATTGTTCATTTTTTTTGCCTACCCATTATGTATGAAATAAAATTCCGCTGATTATTGATTATCATAAAATATAACATGTAATAGTTTTAATAAAAATTTATTTATTTTTTAAAATTTTAGGGAAGATAGTGTTTGTATTCAATTTTTTTGGTTTAGGAGAATTGTAGTAAATTGGGTTTTTAATAAGTTATTACTTATTTGTATACAAATATAAGAATTTTAAGTGTACTGATCTTTTTACTTAACTACTATTTAGTTGATAAAAGTTTAATATTTTCTAAAAAAATACAAATAATAATAGATAGTATTTATAATTTTTTTTTTACAAAATGATAATTCAGTGTTATCTTTTTAATTATTAAATTGTTTTATCATATTAATAAAATAATGCACAGCATAATATTATAACAAACAAAAGTTGGAAAATATTTATTTAAAATTTTGGAATCATAAGACTACTGACATAAAAATTATGAAAATAAAAATCTAAAAGCTAAATATTATCACCATAATTTAAGTCAATATATAATAATCTTGTCAATTCTAACAAACTTAAATTTATTTAAAACATTTCTAAAAAAATATTTGTATAGATTAACAAAAAAAAAAAAAAACGGTGCACATAAAAATAAACATGATATTTACCTGAATTTTTTTACACCTATAAACAGATACAAGTTTAAATATAAACCTGATATACAAAAATTAAATAATTATTATTATATATATACAGAATAACAATAATTAAGTGCGATATCTAAAAAAATGCATGTTAAAAAATTTGAAACCAACGTGAGAAAATGCTAAATTTTTTTGACTATAAATTGTTGCGTTTCCAAAACATTCATTGGTTTACAGCATAGATGATTTGTTCACTTGTCGGCCAGTAAAATAAATACATTTTATGAAATTTGAAATTAGTTGTATTGTTCGGGTAAAACATATGATATATCATCCCATGGATGACGGTAAAGTCCTTGTTTTAATCTTTTTTGGTCCATATAATGTCCTAAACATTTTTTTTAGTGTTAAAAAATTAATTACATTTTAACCTTTAATCAAATAATCTTTTTTGTTAAAGCTTATAATTAGATTATAAATTTTGTTAAGTTATTCCAAACATTATCAGCTAGTATAAATTTGTAATAATAAGTTTGAAAACTTTGTTATGTGTTCTAAGTGAGGTTATAGTGTTGGGGGATTAGGGGGTTCATTCTCCATAAACATAAAATATTTCAATACTGTAGTATATTCTAACAACAATTTTGCACTAACTTGTTTGATTTTAAAATGACTTATACAAAATTTATAAATAAATATAAAACCAAACCTAACTCATCATTGGTGAAGGATCAGAGGACATATCAATAAAAACAAAAAAAAATTTATTTCTTCAAATAATTTTGTACAATTATTTTTTTTTTATTTTGTTTTTATATTGTGTAATTTTAGAGGTACTTTAACTAAGTTAAACTTCTATCTTTAAGAGTTTCATTGTTTGTACAAATCAATTCTATGAAAAAACTAAATATTTCAGTTAAAAAAAATTAAAATTTTTTTGACAAATATGTTTTACTGATGTTACACTAATGTTATAATACTAATAAAATAAAAAAAGATTTCTTACCAATAAATCCAATACTTCTTCCGAGTACAAATAAACTGTTGATAGAGCCCATTTCAATATATTCTTGGGCTTCCTCACGAGTAAAACTCCCACTATTTCTTAAAAGATCACAGAATGCTACTGCTATACATCCGTCAACATTCAAAATGAGGTTTGGCTTTTTAGATGTAGTTATTTTTTCAACTTCTAGTGCATAATTTAAAAGTGGAGTTGCTGGAAAATTTTCTAAGACAAAGTCTTTGATGATTTGAACTCTCATATCTGGATTGTTTATCTTTAAAAATAAATATTTTTAATAATCATCAATAAGAATATTACAAAAAATTAATTTAAAATTAAAAGTCTTACAGATTTTACTCTATGACCAATGCCCATGATAAGTTGACCCTTCTTTCGCATTTGATTAACAAATTCCATAGGAATTAATCCTGAGTCATATGCCTCAGTAAATTGTTTAGCTGCACCATCCAATGCACCTCCAAATCTGTCTCCAATTGTTAATAAACCAGAAACCAAAGATGAGACTAGATCTTTACCAGCACGTGCACACACAATAGTGTTATGTGCTCCTGATACTGCTGGTCCATGATCAGCTGTTACCAATAAGCACATTTCTAAGAATTTACAAACATAAGGAGGTAATGATCTTTGGAACCAAAGAAGAGAAATTACTCCACCAATGCCCATATTAGCTTTTAACACATCACTGATAGGCATGCCAGCATAAAGAAGTTCTTGACCACGTTCATCACAAATACTAGTCATAAATGATGCTGGTTTACGAATAAGCCCTAGTTCTCGAGCCCAAGAGTAATCCATGGGAACAGTTGGAGGGGGTACTTCTGGTTTTGGCACAATGGAACCTTCTTTTACCAATTTAGTATAAACTTCATTGATTATATCACCCAAAAAGTCAAATGAAGTTGGTACAAAAGCACCTGCTGCTTTTAGATTTGAATTTTTAGCTGTTGCTGTTTCTTGATCTGAGTTAGCACATGATCCTGCATGACCAAATTGTACCTCGGATGTAAACATACTTGCACATGTTCCAATACACCAAGCAACCAAAGGTTTTGTTATCTTTTTTTGTTTTAAAGCTTCACATACTTCATATTCTTCAACACCACCAACTTCACCCAAAAGAACGATCATTTTAATTTCAGGGTCATTTTGATACCTCATGATATGATCCATAAATGTAGTTCCAGGATAACGGTCACCGCCAATAGCTACACCTTCATACACACCATCAGTTGTTCTTGAAATTATATTATTTAACTCATTTGACATACCACCAGATCGGGAAACATAAGCAACACTAAAAAATAAAAATGTATTATTTAAATATTTGATCAATTTATTAAAATTTGATAAAAGATTCCATTACCTTCCAGCTCTGTACAGTTTGGAATGTAAAATATTATCCATCATACCACCAGTATTACCTATTTTAAAGCATCCTGGTTTCAATCCTCCAACAGTAGCGGGTCCAATAATTGTAACTTTTTTTTCATTGGCTAATAAAATTAGTTTTCTAGTCATATTTTCCGGAATACCTTCAGCAATTATGGCAATTGTTCTAATCTGTAATTATTTAAATTTATTATATATAAAGAAGTAATCATCAGTGTATTTATTATTTATAATTTTTGTTTATAAATAATTTACTTGAGGATAATTTAATGTTTCTATAGTACTATCATATGCTGATCTTAAAGAAGCAAAGTTGACTAAGACATCTGCATTACGATGTTTTAACATAGCATCTTCCATTTTCTTGTAAACTATTACAAAAAAATTATATTTTGTGTTCATAAAATTAAGCTACTAATAATTTATTACTAACCAGGAATTAATACTTCCTTGTGTCCCCAATAGAATTTCAACTTATGATCTCCAGTGAATGGATATACAAGGCAAGCTACAGAAGGTTCATGTCTTTGACAGACAAAATCAAAATCAAGCATACTCTGAAAATTTATTTAAAATGAATTTCTCATTTTCATGAATATTTTTTATCATTTTTAACGTAATTCTGTTCTATTTAAAAATTTTTGAGGAAGCACAAACCCATTCCGTGGCATAGTTAAAGAATTAAAAAGAATTACTAACCTGCACAGCTCTGGTTTGCATTCCCCAAACAATAGCTCTAGTGTTATGACTAAATAAAGGTTTACTGTATGTAATTCCAGATGTAAATTTTGTTTGAGTTGGTGAAGCTACTGAGGGACTTATTGCTCCATCTTTGGAACCATCTACTACTTCTTGTTTAGCATTAACAGTATTTGCATCCTTAAAAATAATAACTTAGAAGTGGTTAAATAATAAATTTCTTAAGATTATATTATGTTACCTGCCCTCCTGGTAATAAGAAATTAGCAGTTACTGATTCTTGTTCAGTTTCTTTTGGTATAGCTTTTTTACCAAGAGCATAACCCACTATTGCTGTCATGTGAGTTTCTGGTCCAAAAACATAAATTGGTATACGTAAAGTTTTGCCTACTTCTCTTATGATTCTTAGACCTTCTTGATAATTGGGACCAGCTCGACGAACATATATGGTTATATTATGTTCTAAGATCTTAGTTTGGAATTCTGTTAGTGCAGTTACAATACCCTTGAAAGTAGCTGCAACATTTGTAAAGTTAGCGATGCCTCCTCCAGTAATAAGAACTTTTCCATCAGGATGTTTTTCTTGAGTCATTAAACTCAAAATAGTCTTAGCATATTCATAAGTTTGCTGTTCAGAAGGAGCTCCACTGTATTCACCATAGTTAGCTAATTCACTAGCACCACCATAATCACAAATAGTATCTGCATAAATAACTGAAGCACCACCACCAGCAACCATAGTCCAAATACGCCCTTTTTTGTTTAATATTGTTAACTAAAAACAAATGTTTTAAAAATAAATTCCTAATTATTATAATAAGATAATTATTTTTATAATAATATTACCTTAAGAGAAGCTCCACTTTTAGCATCTAAATCAGCTATGTATGCTTCTTCTGGGTATGCATCGCGTCCAAATGGAGGTGGATATTCAATTTCTCCCCATGATGAACGACATACAAAATCTGCAGTAGAATCTATTTTAGCAGCTAAATCCAATATATATATAGCACTGTCTGTCACCACTAATGGATTGATTTCCAAATATGTGAAGTAAAGATTCACATACATTTTGTATAATGCAACTATAAATGTTGCAATTGTTCTGAAAATTTGTATTAATTTAAATTAAGTTGTATAAGAAAGAGTGATCATGATATTTATCAATGTAACAATTTTATTATAATAATATTATCTAATATTATAAAATTATATGTAAATTAGTGTAAATATTTACTTTTGTTTAGTAGGGCTGACTTTTATTAGAAGTTTTTCCAAAATTTGATCTTCAGTTACATTTTGTCCAATTGGAACTTCAAGTTTTAATGCTTTAGCATCAACATCACCAATATCAACACCACCTTCATGGTGAAATAATATTGTATCGGCATAACGATGTGAGTAAATACATACATATGCTTCTTCTTCCTATTCAACATAGTCATGAAGTCTTAGTAACTTGTTAGTAAATCATAAGTTTTAATTAAAAAACACTTTATTACAGGTTTATGAGGAATGAAAGGTTCAATAATAAAATTTTTTAATTTTCCATTAGCACGACCAATTTGTTGGTTTTTGCCCAAGCGTTCTAAAATCCATTGTTTAGCATCCGTAAAATCAGTTTTCACTTTGATTAGACCTAACTTTCCACGACGTTTTATTAATTGATCAGGTTTAGCTACTAAGCTCTATAAATTTGAAACAAAATCATTAAGAGACTATTGTTTAAAGAAAATTTACCATATTATAATACTTCAGTTTTAAGCCAGGGATTGTCAATAAGCAAGTCCTCCCATTTAGTATTTTCATTGACAGAAGCAAATCGACATTTTGCTGCAGATGTCAATGGTGCCAAATTTCTGTTAATTATATCTTTTCCAGTAGCTTCGCTAATTGCTTTTGCAGACATTTTGAGTTAACTAAACTAAAAAAAAATGAATACAATAATATTCTTCAATAATTAGTTCCTCAAAATTATTGTATGTAATTTATCTTTATATTCATGTTATGTATTACATCTTATAACATTTTATTGTGTAACAAATTTTACTATAAATTAAGCTGAAAAAATATTAATTAAGATAACACAGGGGTCAATCAAGGTTAATCAAGAGAGTTATATGACCTCAACATGTTTAATAACCAAATATAAAATTAATTATAATTAAAAATCTTAACATCAAATAAAATATTGTTAAAGAATTTATAATCCACTGGATTATATCTTTAAAAATTCTACATTTTAAATTTTAAATAATATTTAAGTGAATTTAGTATTTAAAAAAAACTAATATCTATTTTATACAAGACAAAGACTTACATTAAAATATGTAGCTTAAGAATAACACTTAAACAATAATTAATCAATTTAAGGTAAATGTATTTTATCTAAATATGATATAATTTAAAAAATAAATAACGGAATTAATTTAAAATCATTACAAAAAATTGATTTCATATAATGTTATCCAATTTATATCTAATTAAAAATTTACCTTAAATATGTCGAAAATAGATCGCAAGAAAAACAGTATTTAAATAATACAAATTAATAGAAAGGAATAGAGTAAAAAGTTAATAACATAATAAACACTAAGCATTTATAAAAAGATAAATAATGAAAATTATAAATCAAATACTAAAAATATTGACAAAAATCTATCGTAATAAATATATTTATTAAAAAAGTGAACTAATTCATTTAAAACTATATTTTTTTAATAGTTTTAAACAAATAGTGTAAATGTAAAAAAATTAGTTGGACTGATCTATTATCTATGATGTTTTCTCAATGTATTAATAAAGAATATTATATTTGACAATCATTCAATGCAGGTAAATATTTTTATATAGTAAAAAAAATCTATAAAAATCATAAATCAAAATAAAAATTTATAACTTAATATCCATCACATATTAAAATATCTCTGAAACGAAAACTAATCACTATACAAATAAAATATTGTTTCATTCAATTTTTTTAAATAAATTAAAATATTAACTACATTATACATTTAACTTCAAACGCTACCTACCAGTTGTATCTTTTTTTTTTAGAGTGAATATTTTTATAATATTAATAATTATTTACTAAGATACTATAAAAATAAGTATTAAACGGATGCAGATTAAAAAAAGAGACAGACACCCGTGTGTCTGAGGCGCGAGTATAACTGACCGGAGAAAGTTATTAAGCACGTCCTTTCGTACGCGATCAAGGTCGCAGATGTACCCAAAGATTAACCTCTTGACTTAGACTGGTATTGATTAAGATTAATACTAGAGTACAGAATATCTAGTTTCATCTGATATAACTGGCCATATTTTATACAAAGTCACAAAGAGCAAAATATTTTAGCATTAAGTCATATACTGGTTTTGTTCATTTATTCTTAAAGGGCAAATAATTATTTTGTTCAATATTAAACTCTAAGTTAGGAAATTTTAGATATTATGACAATAATAAAATAATTTAAATGTTAACTCAATTTATACGTTTATAAATATTATAAATGCATAAATTACAGTTTCACGTATAAATTTAGAATCTCGTGTTGTATTATCAATACATAATTGACCAATTATCATACTGTAATAGTAATAACAATTATTATTTTTCTTCGAATAACCAATTTAGGTCTCTTTATGTAACTAATTATTAAAAATATTCTTGGTACCGTAAATCAGGGTAACTTTAATAATTTTTTTATTGTATTTTGTCATTTATTTTTTATTCATACTAATACTTGATTTAAAATGAGTACATCAAAGTTATACTCATTATGGCGTATTTTTGATGATTTATTTAATTTTGTATTGAATTAATTGAAAAAATTGTCTAATGATCAATATTACTAAAATTTGAATAAAGTTACTCTTAAGGAATTATTTCAACTTTACCTACGATACATATCATTCATGCAGCTAATTATAATTGATTAACATAAAATGATGTCTTTTTTCATAATTATTTACAAAAAATAGCACAGCCACACACAAAAAAAAATATTTTTTCGGGTCTGGAGGTCAGACCATGTTTACCATATGTCGCTGAATCCGAATCCGTTGTCATGTTACTTGTCATTTATTCTAGTAGTTAAGAATTCTACACATCATTTTTAATATTGTAGATGTATACGATTCATTTATCTAGTCATTTATTTATTCTTGGTAATCATTCTACAAATTTAAATTTTTGTTGCCAAAAGCCCTTATAAGGATCACATGATGTAAAAAATCCGATTGTGCAACCTCCTCGTGGTGTACATCGGGTAGCGCTGATGCCAACGGTCCTATATACCTTTGTTTAGTGAGTAAATAGGGTTTATGGGTTTAACTGATTTTTGTTCAGTATACGGCAAAAGTCAAAACGTCGAAGCGTTAAATAGCTTAGATAACTGGATATTTTGAAGGTTATGTCAGAACCCTAACGTGTTAAGGTTTTTTAACTTTCGGATTTAGATTCAGCGACCCCAAAAACATAGTTAACATGGTCTGACCTCCAGACCCGAAAAAATATTTTTATTTTGTGTGGCTGTGTCGTTAATAGATAATAAACACTATGTATAACAACTATTCACTAGATTATCTAGGGTATGTTTTTACATTCCCATCCACCAAGAAAACAAGAGGTATTTTCATATTAAAGTCATTAGGGTACTTCGCGGAAATGATTAAAGTTGTACCAAGTACAGAATCAAGGTTTCCCTACGGAAAAAATTTCATTTGTACTATTAGAATCATAAAAAAAAAATACTAATAATTAAATAATATACTAAAGTAAGAGCATTACAAAGAATGGTGAAGGGATAATAATGGGCGAGGATATAAAAAGTAAAGTAGTAGAACTAGTTAGGAAAAGTGTTGAATGTAGAAAGTGCCTATGCACTACAAGTAGGATGTGATGAAATAGACATGGGCGTGTTTTGGAGAGAGATGGATGAGGTAATGCAAGGAATACTTGGTAATGAGGATATGGTGATAGGTGGAGATATGAAAAGATATGTCGGCAATGATAGGAGAGGATATGAAAGGAGGGTATAGCATTAGTAGTAAGATTGAGTCTGATGAAAGAATCCTGGATTTCGTAGTATTGTATTACCTTACTATAGTTAATACTTATTTAAGAAATAGGGTAGAACATTATATAACTTATAAGAGTGGAAGTAATAGATTACAGATTGATTATTTTATGTGGAAAAGAGGGAGTGTAAAGCGAGTAAAAGATTGTAAAGTTATCCTAAGCAAGAGTATAACTACACAACATGTCTGATGGTAATGGAGTTGTGGTGAAGTTAAAAGAGAGTCTACAAAAACAGAAATAACACAGAAGGAGAATCGAGGATCCGGTGATGGTAATTGAAAAAGCAAAAAGAAAAGAGTTTTTATAGACGGTAAAAGAGAAGACGGTGTGTATGACGAGGGAGACATAAATAATGCGTGGATTAGATTTGCTAGATGTGTAAAAAATACTACAAAGAGATTGTTGGTGAGGGTAGGAGTACAATGCTAGGAAACAATGAAACCTGGTAGTGGGATGTGGAAATTCAAAAAATCATAGAGAATAAGAAAAACCAGTTCAAAGTATTGCAGAAGAGCAAAAGAAGAAAAGATTAAATGGAGTATAAAGAAGCCAAGCGTATAGTAAGTAAGTAGTATTTTAAGAGGTATGATGAGTTATATGATAGGTTAGGAACAAAGAAAGGAGAAAAAGAAGTCTATAGACTTGCAAAAGTTAGAGAAAACGGTCTAAATATTATCCAATACAAGTTGTATAAAAAGTAATTATGATGTTGACGATGATGTAAGACACAGGTTTAAGTGCAGGTGAGTGAAGTAGAGAGAAACGTCTGGTGTGTTATGCGATAAGAGAATTTCTTCGATAAGAGGCTGAAAATTAAGTTTTATAAAACTGTAGTGAGACCAGTTGTGTGTATGGTTCAAAGTGTTGGATTGTTGACATGAGAATAGAGTAGAGAATGAATGTAGCAGAGATGAGAATGCTTAGATGGATAAGTGGAGTGGTTAGAAAGATAGGATAAGGAACGAACATATAAGGAGTTAATAGGCGTCAATCGTGGATAAGACGAGAGAAAATACTTAGATAGTTTAGTCATGCTATGAGGGGAGAGGAATTGGACGCTGTGAAAACAGTTATGAAAATAAATGTTAAAGGAAGAAGAGGTAGACGAAGACCAAAAAGAGATGGAGAGATATTATTAAATGCGATATGAGGACTGCTGATGTGTGCGTAGATGATGTTGGAGTTCGGGTCAAATGGAATTTTAGGATAAGGTTGGCCGACCCCAAGTAGTCACAATAAAGGTGGGGATAAAAAAGAAGAATAGTAGTTTGTATTTACAATAAAGTTTATTAAATATAATTCTAATAAAAGATAATGAATTGAATTGTTTTATATGTTTTTAATATATTTTGGTATTTTATGAATATTATTGATTAATATATTAATATGAAAAGTTAAATGTATTATAAAAAATAAATGAAACAATAGAAAGTTAATGAACATATACATGCTTTAAACTAGTTAAAGTTGTCTAAGATAAATAAAAAAGTGTTTTATTGAAGTTATCGTACAGAAAATTGATAATAATTTGATTTTACATTAAAAGATAATTATTTTTCTTATAATGAATCAATCTAAAACCGGTAGAACTAATATTATACATAGGGGTATGTAAAAATAAAAAAAACTAGTTTAATAAATGTATAAAAAAAGTTAATTTTATTAATAAAGCCTGAATTAATTTAAACGTAAAATAAAAACCTACAAATCCAGTTAATAGTGTAGTACCTTGTTTTACACGTGTAAATACAGGAAATTCAAAAAACCTGTATGAAAAATATTACTATTTTAATAAAAATAGTCTATCTGTTAAAATTTTATTCGTATATTAATAATTTTAG